AAAAACAAGTGGATTTTAACATATTTTCTCATGTTTAGTTGGTGAGTAGAATATATTTTCTGAAAAATATTTTTAAATGTTTGGTTGGTGAATGAAGAATATTTTCTAGAAATTTTCATTTTTCCTTGAGAATAAAAAATACTTTTAGAAAAATAATTTCTAACCCGAAAATCAACTTTAATAATAGATCTAGAACTAGATCCTAACGCCTGAACTTGGATATAACTCCGACGATTGTTTGAAAATCAGACCCATGACCTAACCATGACTTCCGATTTTTTTAAAATATTGAGAGTCAAGTTTTGAGAATTCTTTCGAGCATACTAAGAATGTCCCTTCGAGTCCTTTTGTGGAGTCTTCCACCATTTCTAGTAACTTGTTTCAAGACTCTAGTAAGTTAGTATGAGGATGAAGAGAATTTATTCATGAGTCTAACTTGTCATCATGAGATCCTTCATATCATGAACCATAATTCTCGAATTCATAATTCACATTCAAGAGAGAGTTAAAAGTAGAGCTTAAGAAAGTTAAGTTCAATTGTGAATTCTTTGAGATCCATCATTAATTCGAACTAAGTTTTGAGGAAGTAACTAAGAGAATAAGAAGAGTCATACACATGAGTTCCATCTAGTTACTTAGACCTTCGATTCGAGTCGTCCATGCCCATAACTTCTGCATGACTTCCATAAATTGAGTATCATTGAGAGAAGCAGTATCTTCAAGTTTTAAGTCTTGAGTATTGAGTTCCTTATTCCTTTGGAGATTATGTTTCAAATAATGGGACTATTACATGTTACCCATGAAGTCATTGAGTTGAATTCTTCATAACCATAATTCTGCATGAACACTATAAGTCAAAAATCTTGAGATAAGAAGTGTCTTCGAGTCTTTGAGTTGAGTAGTTCATGCTCCTGATTCCGAATGAATCCTTCAAGTTGAATATCATGAAATCATCCATAAATATGATATCATGAACCTTGAATCCATAATCCAATTCAAAGAAAGTTAAGATCAAAGTCAAAGAAGTTAAGAGTCAAGTCTAAAAGTTAAGAAGCAAGTTAAAAAGAGTTCCTAAAGTTTTCAAGAGTCTTTAACAAACATTTTTACTTGGTTTTAAGGCTCAAGTTACAAGTTAAGAAAGAGGAAGGAGTTGAGTTCATTTTCAAAAGTTATAAAGGGACTAACTAATCCTTAAGAGTTTACAAATGTTTTTATATTTAATCAAGTAAAAAGCCTACGAGCTAATTTTCAAATAGAAGTAATAGCTTTATAAAATAAAGCAAGCAGGGAAACTATGATTTCTAGGAGAGCTTTTATAGCTAAATTTTGAGCACTAATCTCAAATCACAAAATCGGTATGCTTTAAAAACATAAGAGCCAGTATATTTTTTTGAAAGTAGTATTGAGCACCGATGTAGGGATGCGAGTTCATATTAACTCAAGTCTCCATTAAAACCATGTAGTCATCATGGGTAGAAGAGGGTCATACTTTTTAGATGAACCTTTTTCACAGTATACTAGTGGATCCATTAGGCAGTTCAGGTCCTATACCCAGGCAAGGTTAGGAAGGTCGGGCAGCGTGGGCCGAGTAACGTTGTATCATCACTATAGCTCTTAAGTGATGGTTGTCGATTAAAGAAGGTCCCACAAGAGTTATTGTATTTTTATATACATCAGTTAATGTATTTTTATAAACATTTCAGAATTGACATCATGTTTTTAAACAGTTTTTCTTTATATTGCACTTGTTTTAAAATGCTTTAAATTAAAATAAGTTCAGTCGAGTATCAGGTTTTAAGTATTTTGAGTTTATATGTGCTTCATTGAGACGAGTATATATGTTTGAAGTTTAGTATCTAATCCTTGAGTTGAGTATCTCATTCTTAAGTTTAGTTGAGTCGAGTGAGTTTGAAAAGAAGTAAGTATATTTTATTTTTATTCAAGTATCAAGCTTATGTTATACTTTAGAATTCCCCTTACATACTCGTACATTCCACGTACTGGATCATTTGGCCAACATCTTTTGATGATGTAGACACAGGTATTCTCATCAATAGGAGATTCGTTGATACATCCCAGAGTTTGAGTTAGCCATGGTGAGCCTCCTTGTTTCCAGAGGAAATCATTTACTTTTTGGTTTAGTCAGGAGGTCGTGGGTCTTGTCCCGAATTCTATCATTATCAGTTAGAGGTTTCATAGATAATTAGTATAATTGAGGAGTTTGTATTATTCATTTATTATATTAAATATTTTAAAGACTAAAGTTGTTTATTTATGGCGGCGGGTATTTGATTATTCAAAGTTTTTGTTTGAGTTAAAGCATTGTAATAAAGTTTCATCATTTAAATCTGTTTTAAGTTTTTGTATGATTAAGTTAGTCTTCCGCTTGTAGTCAGTCAGGATGAGGGTTCGCATAGGGACCAGCAATGGTCTTTGAGTGTCGGCCACGTCCAGGGCATAGACCCGAGTCGTGACACAATGACTATGTCATTGCATCTTTTCCACTTTCAAAACATAGGTGATTCTTCCTTTGGAATTTCAATGTTTTTATTTATGAAATCTAACTTGATCTTAGAATAAGGTAATAGTAACACTCCTCTTTTCTAGTTTTCATAACTGGTGCCATCAAAAATCACGTTGACAAGATTCATCCCAGGTGAATCTAGTGGTGTAAGATAATAAAGGTGATTTGAATTTACTGCAACTTTGTTAGTAGTGCTAAATTCAGAAACATGAAGAACAACCGTTGTTATCAAATAAGAAGAAGAAATGTATGAAGACATTCAGGGAAAAAAATGATTGAAAAGAAGAAGAATGGTGATGAATCTTTCTAGTTTTGCTCTGATACCATGAAGAGAAATAAAGAAAATGAAATAGATAGGATCATTTGAGGAATTTTATGAGTTTGTAATTATTCCTACTCCTGTATTACAAAGCTACTTAGTATTATATACAAGTTAGAAAGGGACTAAAATGCTACAGTTGTGTGACACTAAAAAATACCATTTGTACTATTTTCTGAGGTACTTATTCTAGACTATGTATGTTGGTATCTATACATATATCTGTATCTATACATCAGAGTAAAATGTTGGATAAGTGAGTTTGCTTTGATACAATGGGCATGACTCCTAAAAGCCCAAATAGAATAGTTCATTACACAATAGAGGTCATATCAGTTGTGTTTCTTCTTTCTTTTTTTTGATCATCATCTTCTTTTTTAGGATCAAACGGAACACTGAAAACATTATTAAACTTCAATCGTCGAAAATATTATTGAACTTCATTTCACCAAAGAATCAGCAAGTTGATTTCTATAAGACTTTTACAATATACTGAAGAGACAAGACGCCAACAACTTTTAACTTTGTTAGAAGCAAGTAAATAACTTTATAGATTATTGAATACAATTGTATCACTCCTATGTCTGTATCAACCTACAGTTTTGTATCACCCTTTTTATATCAGCTTGTGTGTATGAATATAATTATATTGTTATATTTTTGTACGATGAATATATATATATAATAAATACAAATGCAAATAAATATTATTATTATTATTATTAATGTTTAAAATGTATTTTGCTAAAACTAGTGTGCATTACTTTGGTATGCAAGATTAAAACTTGAGTGTGTTTTATGAATTGGAATAAAGGGAGAAATAAGTACACGTTTAAAAATATATACGTTGACAACATAAATAAAAATTAACATTTACTAATTTAATCCATATACTCTTTTGACTAAATGTATTTTTAAAAAATGACAATGGAGGAATTCTTCTGAAACCTTTAAAATATTTATGTATGGGATCAATATTTTTTACATTTAGGCATGGAAATTTAATTTTATCCATATACACTTTTGACTTAATGTATACATGAAAAAAAAAATTAACAATGGTGGAATTTGAAGTCTCCAACTTATTCTCTAACAATTTTACATACTTATAAGATTTTACAAACACTGAATGCATACATTAGAACAACAAAATTGATTAAACATGCTTATAAGCTCGACGGCGATTAATGGTCCAACTTTCGATAATCTCATTGATAAGGGCTGAATAGAAAAAGAAAATCAATTAATTTTGTTTTGATTTTGTAAATTGTTAACTGATTCGAGATGTATATTTTTTAGTAATGTGAAAAAATAATATGGGAGGGGATCCAAGTACCAACATTCTTCTACATGTTGTTGATCTACTAGGAGATGCTTTAGAAATGTATGTTTTGTTGTAGTATGAATTTATTTAAACAATTAATGCACACTTTTGACTAAATGTGTACATGAAAAACAAAATTCAAATGGTAGAATTTGATGTCTCCAACTTATTCTCTACTCAAATTTCCAAAATATTTTACATACTTATAAGCTCTACGGCGATTAATGGTACAACTCTCGAATCATCTCATTGATAAGAGCCTACCAGTTCTTGCTAGCATATTTGAATCGCAACAACTTGACAGGACACCTCAACAGAATCTCCTTTACTATATATTTAGGCAAATAATTAGCCATGCAATCACATTGTCTTCATTATCTTCAAGCAACAAGTGAATACAGACTTCAATCGAACATGTAAGGATTGAACTCTTAATTCTACCATCTGTAACACCCCTATTACAAAGAGATCCAAAGTCATACCTCTATTTTGAAAACTATATCAACTACCTCTAGTTAATAAATACTTCAATCACACCATACACAGTTAACTCTATACATAGATTAGGAACTGATATTACAAGTTAACTCTATACATAGATTAGGAACTGATATTACAATTTAAGACACACAAGACACAAGATATACATGACTTGTGTCAGAGGTGGGGCCAGGATTTCGTGTCAGTGGGTTCTAAATTTTTATAAAAAATAATAATCTTAATCTAAAAGAATAATCTACGTACATGTGAAAGAAGTTCGGATAATTAATCCCTCATGCCACCATTAGTTTCATGACAAATTTATCCGAAAGTAACTAAAATACTGTTTCCCATAAATTGTAATACACTGATATGAATACCATTAATTAAAATGTAGTTTACAGAGCACCATGTCCTTCAATATCAAGTCGAAAGCATTAGGAAAGAGAATTACTGCAGCAGTACACAAGTGCTGGTAAATTATTCGAAAAAGTTTCTTAATATTGCAGAATTACTAATACAATTAGCGTCATAATTCGGTTCATTTCAAATTCTAAACAAGCCCCTTTTCAATGACAGCGTTCTTTATGAGATTAAGAGAATCTTCAAAATCATCAAGCAATTGATGTGGATCGGGTATAGCATTTTCATCAACAGATACGACGATGATCATCTTATTGATATAGCTTTGGAAATTGATCATCAATGCCTACAATCACAAATATTGAAAATCAAAATCTTGATTTACTCTGTCACTTGCTCACAAACATGTTTAAAAACCATATATGTGTAAATTTAAAATATTTTTTGTTAATTGACACGAAATAAGCACATGACATGCATGTGTAATGCACATAAAAGCTAATTTTATTATATATATATTTAAGACATCTTATTATAATTTGACTTTAGGCCACAAAGATCGTGGAACCCCCAATTAAGTACTAGTAGCAATACTTACACTTGGTTGGCCATAAGCACTTGGAGCAAAATAAGTAATGGGGTAACCACAGAACCCAATTTCCTCTTGTGGTCCAACCAAATTGGTGAAACATATTGTTGAATTTGAGAATCCTTTGCAAGTCACCTCTGTAGCTACCTTAAATACACAACCATTATAAAATCAAAATTAACAAATTGTATTTATAGATCTACATTTTACTAATGCAACAACATTGAAATATGCACCTTGATCCCAAGAAACTTGATTAGTAATTGGGCCATGATCAAGGTGGATAAAGCTTCAAAGGATCGCTTCTTGCGATCAACTGTCGCTTTAGCTTCTTTCACGTAGTCTAAAGGATTATCTCGTAGTGCAATCTTGAACGGTAACAACGCGTAACCGAACCAGTTTCCCCAACCCCTCTTCCCTTTGCTTCCATTCTCCATCATATTGGCAAGATCCTAAATGTTTCATTCATGCATGTCATATCTTTTCACAACAACAATAACAATATTTTCTCTGTCTCAATTTATATGGCATTATTGAGATTTCGAGAATCAGTTGAGTAATTATTGTTCAATTATGATTTTTGAATGTCTTTCCAATTTTTTAAAAAATGAGTACTCTTTGTCTGTTCCTTTTTCTGACAACACTTTAATTTTTACTTTACACGTGGGATGTTTAAGATCACGAGACTAAAGAACATTTTGGTATATGTCACATCACTTTAATTTAGTATCACAAAATTGAAAAGACTTATTTATTTTCTTAATAAACTTCACATCAAGTCAAACTAGATCATTTTTTTTTAAAACGGGGAGTACATCTTTTATGTAGTAGTTGTCAAATGTGTAGATTTTATAATTAAAAAAAAATAAAGATTCTATGTTGGACTTCAAAGTTAAGAAATTTGATTAATCGAAGTATGAATGACATATAAATTGAGACGGATAGGAAATGAAAGTTACTTCAATTCCTGCAGAGGATCTTAGGTTGAAACAAAGACATGATCGAAGTCGAATGCCATTGGGAAGATTATTGTTTCTCTCTGTTGCTCCCTTGTCTTTTCCACCAATAGCTGTGAATATTTGGAAAAATAAATGTGAAAACTAATGTATTAAAATCGAAACCTATCATTGTGAACATGTATCAAGTTCAACGAAGAAAATAAAGGCCGAATCTATCAAATTTAAATTGTGTATCCATCTCTGTTGACTAAAAATAACTTACCATATCTTCTATTAAGATATTTAGATAAACCAGCTTGTGTTAATCCTAGGGCAACATCATTTATAGTCTGTGGAGAAAATATATACAACAATATTAGCTTATTTTCACAAAAATATTAACCAAGAGAGCTTAGCTTTATTGTAACTTACAACATTCATAGCATTTTTAACAAACTTCAAATCATCTAGACTGATTATACGATGAACGATTCGTCTAGCTTTGTTAGACTCGTAATCAGGCGGGGCGCTGATTGGTGTTTTGGTGTCCTTGAGGAACATGATTGTGATGATGAACATGTAAACATCTATTGTAGTATTCACAACCATTACCATGAAAAGCCAAATTTTTCCCCACAATCGCCACAACCCTTCCTTTGTTGAATAACCTACCAAAGTAAAAATTAGAGATGGTGAAATTAACTCATTTTGTGGTAGCTTCTTCAATTTGACTACATAATTACAAATAGTATAGTTTATTGTCCATACTTTCAAAATGTTATGTATCTCACAACTATTTAAGAGTTTTCTATTATTTATTGAGGAAGATACATGTATTTTTGCTACCAAATACATTAAAATAAAGAGAGAGAAAGAGAGGGGGACGAGCGAGATAGTCATGTATCCTAAATACATGTGAATCACATTAGATACATGTATCTGTATGTATTTAGAGTGATTCGCATGTATTTGGGATAGGAGAGTGGGGAACGAAATGAAAGGGAAGTGAGCAAGATTTGTTGTGTATCCAAAATACATGTGGAATGCACTTGGATATAGTTTATTTATAACAATTTACACCTAATTTTAACCTCATACATTTCGAGATATATATATCTGGATGCACCAAAATCTAATAAAAATGGGGTTGTACCCAAAATGACCCATCAAATAATTGGGTCAAAAATGTGGCATAATGGTATAATTCAATGAATCACCTAGATCCAAAAACAAAATATCTAATTTTAGACCAAACTTGAAATCCATATGCCACCTTTTGTTGGGCGACTTAAGTTATGACTGATCATTTAACCCAACAAAAGTAAATTGCGCGATTTAAGTTATGACTTATCATTTAACCCAACTTATTCTAATAAAAGTAAATTGTGCGACTTAAGTTATGACTGATCATTTAACTCAACTTATTCTAATAAAAGTAAATTGCGCGACTTAAGTTATGACTGATCATTTAACCCAACTTATTCTAATAAAAGTAAATTGTGCGATTTAAGTTATGACTAATCATTTGACTCAATTTACCTGAAGGAGTAGGCCTCCTTTTCTTGGTGGGAATGGTAGGAAGTTTGAGATTATCAGCAGTTTGGCGAGTGCACGCGAGTAGAAGAGAAATAAGGGAGGTGCCATCGCCAAGAGAATGGTGAACCCTAAACACAACCACGGACTCTGCTTGACGAGTTTTCACATTGATAATGTGAAGGTCCCAAAGTGGCTTTGATCTGTCGAGGCTTGTTTTGCTTAGGTTATATATATAATCCTCCACGAACTTATCGGGTGATACCAGCTGAGTTTCATCTACTTCAACAATTATAATATGTTGGTCCAAGTCAATCTTTGTTTGGACCCATTTCATGTCTATTAAATTTTCTTCATCCACAACCTGTGCATGTGTATATTAAATTTGTTATGTCACATAGGATTAAAGCGATATCACTTCTTTGTGAATTTATGTACTTCAATTAAAATCTTTTGCTCAATTTTAACCTTTTTGTGTCTATAGAGATCTAGTTTCCTTTTCATAACTAAACAAAGAAAAGTTATTCTCGCTTTTTTTTAAAAAGAAATTAGATTATTATTTGATTATAATTAAATATAATTACACATAAATTTGACTATACTTATTAACTAGACTTAATAATGTAAGAATCTTTTTACAAATTAGTATAAATGTATACTTCCTTCATTTCTTTTTGTTTGTTCAATATACTAAAAAATAGATTATCTTTTTTAGTCTATTTTGATTTCTATTATTATTATCAAATATTTATTTTCCAAATAAATTGGAGTGCTAATAATCAAATTCAAGTTTTCAAAATTTTATCAACCAAAAGAATAAAGGGCAACCTGATGCACTAAATTTTTGTCATATGTGAATTTTGGAAAAGGATCAGATCATAAGAATCTATTGTATATAATTTTATCATATATTTCTATAAGAGATATTTTACGTCTCGAGCATATGATCTTCTTCTCATGGTAAAGAAACTTTACAAAGTCATGTGTAATCGCTCTACCTAGATAAAGATAATTTGATAAAATAAATACTTAATTACTATTGTTATAAGAGAAGTGCAAAATACTAATTAAACAAGTACCTTTTCATATTCTTTACTTGTCCAATATATAAAACTAGTGATACAACTTTACTTGTTCAGCTTAAAATATTAAGAGATAATTTACTATTTTATGCCTATTTTGCTAAAAGAGTAATATAATAAAAATACTTCTTTTATTATTTGATATAAGAATGTGTCAAATTAAACACGAACAAAACAAGTATTTGGAGTTTTGAATATTGAAGTCACCAAATTTCATTATGTTATGGAGAAACATACATTGCGTGCACTCATAAGAGATGCTTATTACTAGGCACATCACACGGTATCATGCATCTTCCTCTTCATCTACTAACCAACTACCGTATGGGACTCTTTTTATGGTTTTCGCTGATAATTATGACTTTTAATTTTCAGCGAGTATAAGTAGGCATTGGAATTTGTATAAAATTGAATAAATTGATACATTCATTTTATATAACAATTTTATGTCCTACATGGTGTTCTACGTGTATCATGTTGTTAGGATCGAATCCACACACACACTTGATGAATGAAGAACACAAGAACTTTCGAGAGAAAGAGATGAGAGATCTAGAGAGAGAAAGAGAGAAACCAATATTTCGTGGTAACACCCCGTGAGTAAACTTCCACGGCGGTGGGGTATATATATTAATTATTCAGAGTATTTTTTGTTACAGAGAATAAATGGAGAATAAATATTAATATATTTAAACTTCCACCGCGTGAACATTAATATATGACAGTACATCAAATATTAATCAGGTTTCACAACCTAACACATGTTATATAAGACGCATGTGTCTACTTGTTTCATTTTATTATCTATTTATGCACATTCAAAATTAAAGGACATAAATATCAACTGAAAGCAAATTAAAAAGCATATTGATACATTATGCCTTTCCCATACCTTGACTTTTAACCTATAACAACACTAGGTGTAAAGTTCGTCATCCCTCTTTAAGATCAGTAAGGTAAGATTTGATCCTAGTAATGTTCTCATATATTGAGATTTGTAATTATTGATTATGAAAATAAATAATGTTATATTAGCTTTATAAAAATAAAAACTAATATTGGAGGATCAGCAATGGAATTAATAATTGGCCGATGATAGTAAAACTTAACCTCTAAGAATATAATGGGATCATATCAGGGGCGGAGGCAAAAATTTTAATAAGAGGGTTCAAAATCTAAATAAATAGACACACGAAATAGTCGAGCGGTGTTCGACATCTACTATATATACCTAAAAAAAATATTGTAACCATGTATAAATCATATAATTTTCTGCTGAAAAGGGTTATTGTAAGGTGGCTTTAGCCACAAATGAGTCACCTTAGGCTAAGAGTGGTCAGATACACATATTTTGCTTGGAAAATTATGTGGTGTACAGAGCTTATTATTTCTTTCTTCCCAATTTATCTAACATAGTTTGACTTGACATAGAGTTCAAAAAAGAGAAAAACTTTTAAAATGTGTCATAATCATTTTATTAAGATAAAAGTGACATTTTAAAATTAATTTATTATGAATGTCTTTTTAATTTTGCTTGCTTTTAACACAACGATAAGAAAATTATGCACACTCTTCGCTAAATTTCTGATTCCGCCTATGGATGGGTAAAGGAGGATAAGCTAAATTAGAGCCATTTCTTCTTCGTTTAATTGAAAGGACAACAAAACTTAGCAAGGCAAATATAGCAGAGTAACTAATAAATAGGAAAAGATGTCAAGCAATCGATTCAGTTGAACCAATAATTTTGACACGATAATATACGTGGAAGTCACTAAAATTTTAGTCATTTATAAAAAAATTTCACCTAGATATATAGTTCACAAGTATAATATTAAGCTCCTAGATCCTTCTTTAGTGACATGCTTTCAAAGTACATTTTTTATATTTTAATGAAAACTCTGATTCTATCATTTATGTTCAAAAACAAATTACATCTTACATAAACGAAAAATAAAAAAGAAAAAAGGAACATACCATCAAGCTAGTGAAACGAGGATGCTTAAGCAAAGTATGCACCAACTTTTCCTTCACGGGTTGTGGTGAGATTCGAGTTTTACTAGCCATAAACGCAACAGCGTGGACATCGAACCTCCTATCGTGGAAAAGACGAGCCATTGGACTCAATGGCTCGTCTTCCACGGTCACCATATCGTACTCTTCGATTCCCCCTTTCATCTTTGTTTCTATTGCTTTTAGACCTGATGATCTGCTTCTTAATCCTTCACCCATAGATGACTCCATTTTTTTGTAATATGTGTGTACTATACTTAGGTCTTGTGACTTTTTTGGTTTGTTATATAGAAGAATAATAGTACGAATCTTAGCTAACTTATTATGTATTTTCTTTATTTTGATTGGACGTGAAATTAAAAGAAGTATAAAGTTTAGTTTAAAATAACAAATAAATATATATATGACTACAAATTATTATTGTTCTGTTCTTTATAGAATTAATTACTTGAGTGGATTTTTTTAAAAAAATAATTACTTATTTTAAATATATTCTTTAATTATTATCATTTATAGCAATATATGACAACATTGTGTATTTTATTAAATTGTCTCTCTCGCTCTTTTTTTTTTTCTCTCTCTTTTTTTTTTCTCCTTTTCGCTCTTTTTATCTGTCTTTCTTGCTCTCTTCTCTTTACCTACTTCTTTTATGAGCTCTTTTTCAACCTCCCAAAAAAAGAGAAGTAACTAAATTGAATGCAAAATATGGCAAACAAAAGAGCATCTAATTATTTGTAGATTGAATAAAATTTGTATCAATAATTAATTAAACAAATAATTTAATAGTAATAAATTAACCAATAAACTGTAAAATGAATTAAACTTGTATAAAAAGTGTATAAACAAAAATCAAAATTGAATTAGAAGAGAGAATTAATCATGAATAAAAAGCGTAACTAATGAAAGACTAAACATTGATCTATAGAGTGAATTAAAGTTGTATCAATAATGAATTAAGCAAGTAATTCAATAGTAACAAATAAATGAAATAAAGTGCAGAATGAATGAAATTTGCATTAAAAATGTATTACACAAATACTAAAATTGAATTAGAAGAGGGAATTAAGCATGAATGAAAAATGTAACTAAAGAAAAACAAGATATATTAATAATAAATTAAATAAGTAATCTAACAGTGACAAATAACAAACTATAAAATGAATGAAATTTGCATTAAAATTGTATTACACAATATTAAAATTGAATTAGAAGATTAAATTAAGAATAAATGAAAACGTAATTAATGAAAGACATGAAAATAATCTATAAACTGAATTAAACTTTTATTACTCTTGAATATAATTCATTGTTTATGATTTTAATTCAATTTTAATTCATATATAATACAACTTTAATACAATTGTGATATAGTTCCATAAAATTAATCTTGTTTGACCTTCAATCTAATATTTCTCCTAAAATCACTTATAAACTTAATCAAACCCACTTAAAATTGATATATAATCTCCAAACAACATTTTCAATTATTTGGTGAGAACAATCTATCAAAATTAATTACAAATCCGTAAAATTCAAATAATAAATTTAAAATTAAAAGTTTTATAATAACCATCATTGATGAGTTCTTGCTGCTTTAATTTTCTAGATTTGAAATTTCTGCTTGAAAACATAATTTGTGCAAATTTTTTATCATTCTGTTACTATTTTTATCGTATTTTTGGATAAAAATAAAAAAATATGTACAAAAACTGATATTTGGATTTTAAAGAAGAAGAAGCCAAAAGGAGAAAGATAAAGAGACAGAGAAAGAGACGAAAAAGAAAAGAATAAACAGAAGAAGAGAAGTAAGCGGAAAAAATGCAGAGAAAGAGGCAAGCGCCTGTACAATTTGTTTCATTCCAAAAAATTATTATATTTAGTTAGAAAAATTATATTAACATAAATAGTAAATATTTTTTTGATATAGCATATTTATATGATTTTCCCATCTTTATATATAGGAGTGGAGAAGACTCGTATTCAGCACGGGACAAATGGCTCATTCGTTTACTTAATTCGAACTTATATAGACGTGTGGGGTGATTTTTCCTTCTTGATTTTGTTTTTATTATGTAAGGTACTAACTTTTCCGGTTTCATTTTATGTTTGAGATAAATATTGAAAATATCTATAAATTTGATGTGAATTATCATTATAGTCATTCAACTATTGACAGCCTTAAAAGTATATCTTTATTTTATTAAGTAATAGTCTTTAAGGGGTTCGCAACACCTTAACCACTAAGACTAAACATATATATTTATTGAACCAAAATTTAACTGTGTAATTTCTTATGCTTGACACCCCTTCAGCATGGTGGGTCCGCCCCTGTATATGTGGAATTTTATGCTAATATAGCGTACACATAGATATATATAGTTAAAAGGAACATTAAAACAATTAAATGCTAAAATTTAATAATTAAAAGATATTTTTATCTCACACCACCGTCTACCTCGACTTCCCCACTTCAATAGAGTTATTGTTTTGTGTCTTCTAATAATAGAGTTACAAGGTATGCAGAATTTAAAGTTTAATCCTTTATAAATATTCGAGATTGTATTTAATCCCTTGAGCAAGGAAGTTTTCGTGTAAATATTTGTGTTCTTTACTTTAAGCATTTACTTTAAACACGTCTATTTACTAACTTTGTCAAGGGGTCTGGTCTCTTAACTCGTGGTGGACTCATACAAGCCTACCATAACGGTCGGGTCAAGTTAAAATTTTGTAATTGTGACTCCAAATGAAGCCAGAAACGCAGCAGCACACATGACCAGAGAGATGTTTACTGGGATAATAATTTCAAACACAAGAACAAAAAGCTTATTACTACTTGATAAATAAACACAACTTCCATAGTTTTACAGAAGAATCTTCAACATCAAGACGATGCTAAACGCTAACGACAGTATCCAGCAACCCGAGAAGAAAAATGGAATCCACGAGTCGTGAGGTACGACGAGTATTAACTACATATTGGTATACATGCTCCTCCATCTGGATTTCGTTTTTCCTTCCATATTTTTCCAGTAACACGTAGCTTAAGCTCTTTTCTGTCGCCTCCAGAGAAGAAAAGTGCCATGTTACGTTGTATAATAAGCCCGTCATGGCTATCCCTAACTTTCCTATGACTATCTCTTATGCTCCGAGGGGTACCCTCCCAGATAAGTTTCCTTCCATTGCCCCCGACTTCAAGGCTGTAGCTGTAGTTTCGAGCATCTGTCTCATCTCCCATAAACCGAAGAAATGCCATGTATACAGGAGCCACGCCAAGCTGAAAGGCTTCAAAATGGAGACAGAAGGACTGACCGAAACAATTAAAAACCTGAAAAAAAGAGGTATACGCATGAAAATGACACACAGCTTTACGCCATCATATTTTAGAGTACTATGACTTCATCAGGAACAATTCTCAGAGGATAAAAACTAGAAGAAAACATGAGAAAGTAACCAAATACTCTTAAACAAAGGTGTCGTACCAGCGATGGTCTACTTCCAAACTGGCAAGCCCATTTCATAGATCCCAAGAGGATCATCTTAACTATTTGTTAAGATGTAAAGCCTAAGGTTCCATTTAGTAATGTCCTTTATAAATTACAGGGAAACTGATGTTTGGCTGGATATAATTCGTTTATATATAAGTATAGTTGAGGACTTGAAGTAATCAATGCAGAGTTGCAGACTCAACTAAAGATAGGACAATGGAAGAAGAAGACACATCGGTGATACGTTGATAGCTACGAGTTGAGGATAGGTTTTAGACTTGCTAGAGAACTTCTAATATTGTTACTATTATCTTATTTACCTATATGTTTAACTTATTTGTCCCTTCTAATTTATTTAGTATGATGATAATATGATATGAGCTTAAATGGAAAAATGAGGACGCATAGCCAACCCAACTTGTTTGGGACTAGGCATAGTTGATGTATAAGTTAATGTAATGTTTGGCTGGATAGTCAACGAGTTCTAATAATAACGGAGAAAGTACATTTGTGGTGTTTCATAATGATTACAACTACAATAACATACCTACTCTAATCCCACAATAGGGTCTGAGGAGGGTGGTGTGTGCGCGGACCTTACCACTATCTTGTGAGGTAGAGTGGTTGTTTCTGATGAGACATTCGCCTCAATAAAACATATCAAAGCAGGTTTGAAACAGAAATACAGTATTGTTTATCCTCGACCTCCATATACTAATACTATTTGATGATGATTTCAAGTAGCAAATATGGAAAATAGTGTTTTATATGTTGGTTAGAGCAAGTTACATAGAATTGGAAAGAAAGGGTGTTTAATTGTTCTTCCTCCATGAAGTGGAAAAGCATTTAATTGAGCGACTTTGTCAATTTGAAACAACCAAACATCAAAAAATGGTTTTATCATGGAAACAACTTCTGTCGAATCAAAGAGAGCCATTAATTACACAGCAAAATGGTAAATGCCTATTATCAGTATTCAAAATCTTCCAAATTTTGAGCCTTTAATCAAATATCAGATGCGCTGTTTATGAAGGACATGTTAATACACAACACGAAGATTCTTTTTATTTGAAAACATAACAACTGTATCCAACTTACCGTTAACATCCACGTCGCATTTTCCACTTGTCTAGGATTTGATTTGACATACCGATGATTAAAAGTGCAACCTGAATGCATGTCTACCTTGTGATCATCTCGCAAATGAGCAACCAAGTAAGGAATATCACCAACAATTGAGCACTCTGAGCCAGCATACGGGCAGTTGTAAGGTCTAAAATTACACATTGCCTCATGTTTCAGCTTACTGTAATAAGGAAATATCTCAGGACAGCCAAGAGAGCCATATTTGCAAGGAAGCTCAAGCGATTCAGCCACCTTTTCCAGTGCTAAGCATCTAATATCACCAAGCTCCTGTCTACACGTCGGACATCGATTGTGCACCCTTTCTTTACATGTTGAGCAGATGGTGTGCCCATTGTGACACTGTAGCAATAACATGGGGAAAATGGCACATAAGTAGCATTCCGAAATGAATTAAATTTGGTATATTTAAAATAATATTGGAGATTATTTCAACAAAGTGTTCATTAATGTTGGAACAAAAACGAGTCAAGTAGAGCATTGCTTAAATTCAGAGTTTCCAGTTACGGATAATTAAATTCACGTTTGGCTGACCTTATTAAGTATCTGTATTTTGTGAATGGTAGTTATGTAAATGCAGCATGCACTAGTATTCAGTTTAAAAAGCTACTTGTTCCTGGTATCATTAAGTATTGTGATCTTTATTCTCATATCATATTTCCAATCGGCTATTATCAGCAAAGGAAGAAAAAGTAGAAAAGGAT